CACCAATCGGGCGATTGTACATTCGCCATATTTAGGGTGGCAATCACTTCGGCGTGTATGCTCTACATTTGATTTCAACTGTCATGGTGGTTTCGACATCTCAACCACATCTCTATAAGTATTGGGTTTCATTGACCCCCATGAGCTAAATGTTTAAATCATAATCCCATTTGAATAACTGGGTGCATGGTACCAGATAACTGTAACAGCATTGGAAACCGAAGGCGAAGAAGAGCTTCTACACAGACAAGCGCCTCTTTAAGGTTTTCGAATTAAGCTAAATGGAGGGTGAAGAAACGGACCCAGGTGCTGTAAAATCATCGTGCGCTTTGATCTAACGCGAATAAAGAACTACGGTGTATCTCAGTTGATGATATGTTTTCAAACAGGTTATCCAGATCAACAGGCAAACGAAAATAAACACCGACAACTGAAGGCACGTGCTACATCTTCCAAGCTTGATACCATACCACTAAAAACCACTAAATGCAAGGAAACTGAAATTTTTACGACAATTGTGTGAGAAACAGCAAAAGGGGTTACCAAATGGTCAAGAGGACTTACTGTTACCTCATGGGAACCGGCCACCTAGGCCCCGTGACTTAGAGTGACGAACCGCATTAGGCCATACTAGCATAGGCGTGGTATTGAGTCGGTCGAAACTGAAGCCGTTTACCGAAAAAATTGGGAGACGGTGGCTGGGTTTGACCCTGTGGTCCAGGGCCCAAACTACGCTAGTTAGCATGACTTGAACCCCTTGATTGCCATGGCCATTGACAAGATAAATCCCTCTATCTGGTTCCAATGACTTTCACGACTAATCACGGTAAGTATGCGCGCCATCTTTGCCAGGAATGAAACCCGAAGTGGAAAACCATAATTAAAAGCAATGATATTACATATCGCACACAGTATTCAACCTCTGTAAGTAATAGTTTTTCACATTTACAGTACACGAATGAAAATTGATGATCTTAATATTCACATACCAAGTACGTGAGTCCCCTCTTGCATCCAGTCGGACACCTCGTCAGTTTCGTCTGTAGTCGAGTCTAGGGGAGAGTGAGCCCGACTTTTATCTTCTCCCTGGCGTGAAGCGGCCGAGTCCGATGTTAAATCCGATTTAGCACAACTGAAACGACCAGATGGCGCACAAAGTGAACTTGGAGCTGCGAACATCAGTGGAGCTGTCAAGGTGGTGTTGGGAAGTTTTGCCGCATTGTTTGTGTTCACTGTTTCAGGTCCCGAATCTTTTGACAAATTGACCATCCCATCAAGCACACCAGCAGACAACTCCCCGTTGGTGTTATCTGAGGCTTCACGAGTGAGTAAAACCAAATGAGGAACATGACTGGGTAGCAAACTGATTGCCGAGCGAACGGCCGCCAAACGTGCTGGCCAACTACGTTGTGTGAATCCGCCAGTAGACGATCGTGTATCACATGGTGTTCCGTAGGATGTACTCGAACAGGATGCGGGTGGCACTTTTACTTGATTAATTAGACCTGCATGAACACAAGTACAACAGTGTCCACAAACACAATCCGTTTCCGGATGATGCTCATCACGGAGCAGGGTACAGCACAAACAAGGGGGTTGCCGCTGATTATCGACATTTGGGTCAGCACTGGGATCCCATTTCGGGGATTGTTTTGGTTCAATCGGTACTGAACTGATATCTTGCTCGAAAAATGATTGGTCTAGATCGGGGCGTGGAGTGAGTACATTTTCATCGGCATCCGTCCCATCTTCCGTATCAATAGAGTTCATGCGACGTAAGGCATTTCGCGACTGTCGACCATTTTCCAGACCGGATAATGGGGTGTCCGGTGCATCGGAAGGATTTGTGGGACTGGTGCTGTAACTGGTGAAATCCGATGGATTGAACCAAGGCACAGGAAAATCATCATGAGGAGTCTCACTCAGAACGAAGATGTAACCGTGATGCAATTTTCCATGCGGAAAAACGGACGTGTCCGAATTTAGAGGCAATTCGGTTGTAGCGCCCAGGTTATCACTGTTCGAAGTTTCGACTCCGAAGGACACCAAATCACGCAGCATCTGAAGTAAAGACATCACAGAGGTAAAAGTGAATACATAAAAAAGAGATGTATTCTTATGAGGAACGAGCCAAACGAAAAGTATGTGCAAAAACAATGAGGATAGGATAACAAAATCTGATGACGCGGATTATCGCTCTCTTTCTCTTATAAAATGCTCTAGTACGCTTAGCGGTGGGTTACGGTACTCGGTTTGACCTGGGCTTCTCTAGATACTAAGTAGACCGAGGATAAATCACCTTTCAGTAGGATAAGGTAAATTTAGGTACGCTCAATTCAAGTTATGCTGCCGAAACATGTTTTTCTTCCTTTTATCTAACTGGATGCGAGAGAATCCTCTCGAAAGTACTCCTAGACACCTGTATTTACAGTGTCTCATTAAGAAGTTCCATTTGATACCCTTTTGTGGCGGGGAATGTTTTGCATAAAATGAAGGCCACAACGCCGGGGATATAACTGAAGCTAGCTAATCTAAGGAAGTTGACAAACCCTTAATCCAAACTATGCACTATGCGTACAAACCACACCAGGAAAACTGCATATGAGACCACTGGCTCCATTGAAAAATGGGGTTTACAGGCATCCTGGAAGTGATAGCCAATTGTGTAGGGTGTAGGATTCGAACACCAGAATAGCGGCTTCAATAGACTGTGGACTCCAAGCACCATCGGACCAAATGGATTAGATTATTCTAGCATGGGTTCCGGATGAGGGTCTCAAGTCAACTTCCCGCTACGGTTTTAAAGGTTGAGAGGTGTCATACCACACAACAGTGATAAAATGAAAACAAACAGCCCCCGACAATGTCTCTTTCTAGAGTTGGCACCTTGTCTCTGGTGAAACCAACCATTATATATTTGTGCATATATAATTTAGATAATAACTCAGCATTGTGACTATTTTCAGAAAGCACAGGAGATGACTACTGTGGCAATCATAAAGCGATACCCCGTTGGAAACAAAGTGTCGTTTGAGGTGATGGCAAAAAAGAATGGATGGAAATTCGTCAAGGGAAACGGCTGACAACCACAAATTGGTGACACAATGAAAAAAAATAAAAGGTAGGTTGAGATCAGGATAACACTGACGACTACGTGCGAACGAAGCAATCGGGGATAAGCTGTAGCAGGATGACCGAAGGAGCCCTCTCTCTAGAGAACTCATGAAAACCGATTCAAACAACAGCAGATACTCTTGGGGGTTAATTTGTGACCAACGATGCCATACGGAGTAATAAGACTGTACGAACTGCGACCACATTACCAATTCATCCCATGGAAAAGTGTACGGATTAAAACAAACGTAACCCAAACATGGATTTGACATCTTTAGTTTGGTAAATGGAGTACAGATCCTGGATCCTGTTAGTTTATTGACATCTTATTCACTGTATCTAACGTTAACATATAAAATAGGAAAAGCGACATCCACATCGGTGTCCTACTCCGTGACCTGTTGATGTTAGCTCATAAACAGAGCGGAAACACTGAAACGTGGATAGTAGCACTTGACTCTACAAACCTTGTGCAATACAATTAACAGTGCACATGTATTGACTCCACCGACGATCGGATATGGAACCTGACAGGAAAAACGTTAACGCATTTTGCCACGGGGCATATGACCCGGTTGTTTCATATTGAGTAAATCCGAAGTAATACAAGCTGACTGTGAGTTACTATCCTCGTCCAGTTGAACATTCCGCCTCAAAGCTGTGACTCGACTGGTATCTTTTGTTTGCATTCACTCAGATAGTCAATTCGTAGGGCAAGACAATAGAATTCGATCTTTCCGTTGTTCGCTGCACTTCATAACTCAAAATGCTAACTAAGTCCCAAACATTTGTATGACTAAATCATTCCGGGGCTGAAGNGTTATTCGCCGCGAAATTAGTTTACCTTCAGCTTCAAATGACGAAGTTATCTGAGAAGATGAATCCGTTTATTAGACGTTTTCGACGCTCGTTTTCCATCGTTACGAGGAATGCGCCGAAACTGAAATCAAAATGTTATTCTGTTTCGGGGCAGGATCCAGTTGTTTAACACTCGAATGGGCCATGTTCTCACAATACTTTGGTCGTCCGGTTCAGTACCACACGTNCACTCCAAGTCTCGGGGCTTGGGTTACTAGTTTCCACGACGGAGCAGCAGGTCCTCGTGCTTATGGGGTTCATCCTGTCTGCTGTTCACACACAAATGTGTGTAATAAAAAAGACAGAAAGACACCCATCCGAATGTGGTACCGGCGGGAGAAACGTTTTTCAAAATGTGGCCAAAGCTAGTTGGAGGCGGCGGTATTGTAGAAAATGGAACATCCTCTGAATCCCCTAACAGTATCATCGAGTCCCACATCAATGGAACCTTCATTATACTAGGTTATCTTTATCATACACCTCAAACACAGGTTGAAGATTCAAATTGTGTACATCATAATATCATATCAGTCAGTTGAATACATAACCGAAAGCAGCGTAAAAGACCCACTCCTCGTGGAAGCCTTAACCTCATCGTAACTATGAAATATTTTAACAAAAACACCTCATACACCATCTAATTGTAGTTTTTTGGTGCCCTTGGATTGACAGTTTTGTTGAATCGGAAGCCATGCGATTTTCAAAGGCTCGTTGACGACCTCGAAGAGGTATTCTACGAAATTCGCTGAGATCGAGGTTTTGATTTTACATTTGTTTATTTCTAATCGCTTTTGTTAAACACCAGCTAGAGGTTTACAAAGACAGTATTACACATAATACTCAGGATTAATCTTATTGCTACGCAACACGTGACCACCAGTTACAAAATCGCAAACGATAATTCGATTATGACCATGAGATTTTAGGAATAATCGATCCGAAAAAACATGCCGTGAACTTTTCAAGTGCTCAGGTTTCATACACTCTGACAGACAAAATATTTAAAATGGTCAGAACAGGATTGACCTTCATTTGTAAATTTTATTACACCGGAATATGAGGAACAATAGAAGAGATGAACTTTTCGTTGACGAGGATCTACTGTTTTGTTGTGGAAACCAAAAACCTAGAAAGGAAGTGTGAGCCACAAAAACTTGTCTATCTTAATGCAGTAGTCTACATAGGTATGTAATCTAATGATATCAGAGTAATCGAAAACGTAGAGCTGAGAGAGAGACAAAGCATAATTAACGCATCAGGCAAGAAGTTTGATTACACAAAGCCGATGGTACATAATGAACTGATTTTCAAGGTGTGGTATGTAAAACTGGATATTCGCGAGCAGCAAAAACAGTAGGTAAACGTTAACAAACCTTGTGAACAGACATGAGACTGGCGCATACTTGTCCATCAGCAACTTGATTGCCACACGTCCACTGGGTGGCCTTGCTGGTGGAACAGGTGAGATTTGTGGTGGACGGTGAATTGGTCTGTGGGCACGCCAGTTGTACTGGTGGTAAACGACTGGTGGATAGGGGCCACGAGGAAGACAAATTCAACGACTGAGTATCTTCCGGCTTTGTGTGACCAGAATCGCATTCCGCAGATTGAACGGAAGCAGGATGGGGTAACAATGAGGTCATGGAAAATCCAGCACAACCAAATAGATGAATCACTGCCTGAGCAGCTAGAGTATCGGAACACACACAAGCCACTCCAACTGAAAGAGTAGTTTTGCGTGGTCCCGGCACATCACGGCTATCCAAACAAGGTAAATGGGATCGCCCAGAGGTGCCGTTGATGCAAGTCGCTGGGCACGAGTCTGACTTCTCACTAAGTTCATGACGAAATGCTGGCACACCAGGCTCCAGACAGCGAGGATTGATTGGCAATTTCTGATAGGCTAGCCACTTCAGTAGTTGATCCATGCAACCTCCCCAGGAAGTAGATGGACAGCTGTGCGTTGGCAACCAAGAACTGGACGTGTGCGAAGCTTCTGGGACTGAAAAAAAACGAGATGAAAATGGTTGACCCCAGCAAGCAAAAACTACGTTAAGTACCAAACCAATTAAGTATGTCAATCATTTTGCAACTTTAAGAATGGGTGAAAACGACCGACTACCATATGATCAGGTTAACAAGTGATGATCAAATGTAATTTGATGAGTATCTTGGGTTCTTTTAAGTACAATTGACCCATTTTCTGTCTAAATAACTGCAGCTTTTTGCACCTGGTCTTGGTTGATTTCAGGCAAACCAATTCGTCGCGTGAATAATGTAGCCAGCCTAATTTTAACAGATTTCACGACATTCAGTTACGTAAAACATACTCCAAAGAAATTACACGCAACAGGGAGATGAGGAAAATACGGAGGAAGTAAAGATTATCTGTATATTGAAAGAAGAACTAATAGAAAAGTTACAATTTGATGCGGAGTGAGTAGCGTCAGGATGGGGAAATGTTTAACTTACTGTATTAAGTGCGGTGCGAATGATTAGTGCAGGTGTATCATACTAACCGAGGGCAGTATAATCCCGAAGCTCTTGATTAGTCAAGAGGCCATCCAGGAAGCAGTAAACCAGTATTAGAAAATGGAAAACAATATGACAGATGACGACACTGCTCTTCCCGAACGATCTACATGCAAACCAAGAGCTCCGAATGATTTCTCAATTAAATACGCTCAAGGGTCACAGAATATTTGACAAGACTACTGTCTGGTGCCGTATGATTAACTTCAAACCGACCACACACAGACCGTGTCGCCACTGCTCGTTTGTGACTCTCTAACGGCCACAGCATATCGAAACTGACAAGGCGTGCGAATTGGAATAACTTCGCTTTTATTGTTTTGTCTGTTGTGCCTCGTGCATCAGGTTCGCTTTTCGTTCCCATTTAAAAGTACATATCCCCTGTGTTTTAAAGGTTCAAAAATGTGTCTTGTTTCCAACACTAATGGAATTTTTGCATTGATCAACATGAAAATTTAGTTACGCTTCCGAAAACTCTTGGTTTAGCTTACCCAACGGGAACTACAACTCGTTGTGACTTGCACTCAGAAATCCGTACTGAAAACTAGCACTGACAATTCACTTCTGAGGATAAGTATCCTCAACTACTTTCGATAAGACCGATGCGGAAAGGTGGATGAGGAGTTGGCAGTTTGCTAAAACCTACACACCTGATCTTAGTAACAAAATTTTCAAGTGTCGGATGTGACTTGTACTTTCTTACGAGAAATAAAAGATTTTGAATTCTTATATACTTCTGGCGATCAGAAAGCGGGTCCTTTTGGGACCATAGTTAGACAATTGACCACAATAGGTAATGCCAAATATTCTTCAATTGATTTTTTTATATCTTGGGTCACCAAAGGGATGAGCGTGTTATTGAACTGTGCGGCAGCGAAACTGATCACCACACCGTTTTTATTACATATTCTTTTGGTGTGATGAACAGCAGACGGGGTGAACCCCATAGTCACGAGGACCTGCTGTTCAGGGATGGAAGCCGGCAATCCAAGTCCCGAGTCTTGCAGTGGGCAACCACATAAGGCCCCGCTAGGATAGGCATGGTATTGAACCGAAGGACAGCAAAGCTGCCCACTACTTAAGTTGTACGGTGGTGGTGTGGTTCGAACCTCAGATCATAGGATCTAAAGCACAACGCTGACAACGACTGCATTACTGTACCACCACCTGCATGACAGTCCTCACGTTGAAATCCCTCAGAGTGATCAGGCTTCCACTTACAGTGCTATTTGGCAACGAGCATTGATTAGAGACAAACAAGTTGTCTGAGGGAGTGGTACGGTTCGGAAGAATGGACAAAGGGAGTGGGTTGGGTGCGGAAAACACAGAATTAAACAATGTTTAGAATGAACTGTCTCTGTGGATAACTCCATGAAGACACTTGTGAGTATTGCGCAAAGTGGCATTCCCACTTCTTCTTCCCAATTCTTTATTCCAGCATACACCGTTGGCTCTTGCTAAGCCATATGCAAACTGTAGAGTCCAAGGTAATGGCAATGACCCTATTTAACGGCGAGCCGAATTCGACTGTCATGATGCTTTTTACGGACATTTCTGACCTTTAGTTGCAGACAAATCACATACAAAGGGAAACCGGACGAGGTCACATCTTTTAGAACAAACACAGTTTGGCGAAGTAATTGTTTTTCAGTAATACCTTCTCAAGCCGTTGACAGATTACATAGGTAACATTAGAAAACAATGCACACAGACACATCACCAATCATGGGTAAGAGTTTCGCACATTCAACTGGCATTTGTCACTTGATTGGTCTAACTAAGTTACGGCATCAGGGTGACTGGACGGCAGACACACTCGGGGTCGATCGATCACGGGCCATGGAAGTTGGAATGACTGAACCAAACGCTTTTGGGCGCAGAGGTCAGGGGTCAACTTTCTTATCCCGATCGCTTCGGCTATAGCTAGAGTGCGCAGTTGAACACCCTTGCATTTGATCATACCCGCTGGTGACAAAACGTTGACAAACTGAGCACGAAACTCGGCAAACAGACGAAGATGAATGAACATTAAGGTATAACCACACATGGACAAGAAAAGCTACTGATTCTTAGTAGCTTGTTTCACCATATACAGCTGACATTCATATTTCGCTTGCCCTCGAGTAAAAAGCGATGCTACGGAATACACCAAGAAAATAACGGTGAAAAAAGAATTTGCTTCCAGTAGCTAATCTCAGATAAACTCTCTTAGATCGATACGAAACTTGAAAACATCGCAATTAAATAGATGGATTTGGGAACAAAGAGAATATCACGTCGTCTTACATTCCAGTACCTTACTTATATGATTCCCATAACAGTTGCATACATACATATAGTGTCACCTATATCAGGGGCTATAACCGGGTTGGTGGACCACTGGTTATTCACCTAGGGGAGTTGACCAAAAACCCTGATTCCAAACCAGCCAAGAGGAGGCGTACAAACCACACACCTTCGCGGTTGTGGTCACCGGCTCGATTGGGCATCGAGGTTTATTGGGCACCTCGGACGTTTGAAATGATGAACTGGACACCGATCCCCACTGGATTGCGGTTTTCGCACACCGCCCCGCTGCCTTGCGGGTTAAGCTTTGGTTAGCAAAAAGCTCCGGTTATGAATTCCTCAAGAGAATTCACCTGCCTTGGCCTGGGCAACCTAGCAGTGTTCCGCCCATGCGCAAATCATGGAAAGTCTTTCTTTTCCATAAACATTATTGTACTATGATGTGTTTGACACAGTCCGCATTCACACGTGTGTGAAAATATATATATATACCATGCGTAGTTGGATGCGACAATGTTTGTTCTGGATGAAACCGATCCGTGTTACTTCGAATATTATTAACATACAGGTAATTATCGAGGTACAGACTTACGCATCAGGAACATGATATATTCCAAACAAATGGCTGTATGGAAGACGTAAATAACAGTTTCGAAGGGACTTACATCTAATTTCCGTACCACAATTACGACTATTCGAACTGGAACCGGGATGCTGTACCGTTTCGGTAAAAAACGGAAGAAGTGTATTGAAATAAGATGCGACCAAGGTTTGCCTTTCTGACGGTAGAAACATCATAGCCCGATAACGCTCGTCCTGTGAAAGTTGTAATTCCAGCCAATGCAAATGGGTCTCTTTCAGACCACGCGGCGGCGCGGTGAGTATCGAAGAGTCACCATGACGATCAGGAACTCCAAAACCCATGGGACCGCCCAGACCAGTGGAACGACTTGTAACCTCCCACAGATCACCCATCACTGTCCGACTCGACAAATCTGGTAATGATAGAATGCATGACTCGGTCGGAGATGTTCCCTCCCTCGAAAAACTATCACAAAGTTGTCGAACGCATATGTGAGCAGCAATCAAAAAGAGGTCAGTGCGCTCGAGTAGTAAATCCAAAAACTCTTCACGAGCCCGCGCCCGCAATCCGGCTTGGAAAGTTTTGTAAACCTGTATGGAGAGAAACGAGAACAGTAACTTGTGTTATCCAAACTTCGGAATCGACGTCAAACAAAAGATCGAACAGAGTGAAAGCGAGTCCGATAAGAACTTCGAATGCCACAAAAAAATTTCAAACCCAAATGAGTTTTTATATTATTTGGGTCCCTAGGCACAATTTAAATCCCTATTCGAAGATCCAAGTGCTAAGAAAGTATTTCTCGGAATAACCTACACACTATATTTCAAACGCAGTCGTAAAAGGTAATAGTATTAGATAAAATCCCTCCGACCACCTTTTTCCAACAAATGCACTCATGAACGCCTGTATAAACACATATATCCATGAGAGTAACGTCACACTGTGTGCCATAAGTTAGATAAAATAACTATTTCAGGCAGATAAGAATTGTGAGAAAAAATACGGTATGTTAAGTGTGGGGCACTCCGGAAACAAATCCATATGATACAAACCAGTTGGTGAGAACGAGAACACTAAACAGCTGAAACAGTATCTTGCCAATATTTCAAGGCTGAGCAAGCTGGACTAAATCGAACTGATACAACCATGAGAATAAGGTCGTCTCAGCGTGACAAACCTCGACCTGGCCTTTAAAAATAGTGTGCTGCAGCTCAATCCTTTTGTAAGCAGCTTCGTTTAATAATACCTTCTCTACACCTGATGCTTGATTTGATCAGACCCATATTACCACCGTTTTACTGGTGTCCACATCCACTTATGTGCATGAGTAAGATGGCCCGAAGCTATTCCTATATCTACCGCCACGAGTATGGAAAGCCTGGTTAAGGGACTCGGTCGGAGTTAAGCTTCCTGAATGGGGACCGATTGATCAGCGTAATTAAGGACTGGAGGCACTGAGTAATATGGCTCATTGTCGCAAACAAAGGTGATCATGCATGTACTGAATTTCTTCTCAACCTTGGTTGACCTGAATCTCTATCTTCATTTCGATACTGCTATCCTTCTATCCTCGAATGTTTCACTCCACTGAGCAACCAAAAGACAGCAACCAATGACGCCGCACGAAGGTGCAAGGTTAGTGACTGCACAAGCTGAAACCGAAATCTCACGTTATGAATAATGATAGTTGGCAATCATGCACAAACACTCGCTCGCTCTACTAACTCGAGAAGCAACCACGAATCCATCACCCACATAGACATTCGGGGACTAAGCAGCAACATAGGTTCTGTACAACCAATCTTTCCGGCCTTCGTTTTCTCTCATCCTGATTTAAATAGAAATCCCAATCTCTCTTCGTCGGACACCGCCCACTGTCTAGTTCCCAAGCACAATATCTGTTCCTCTTATCTATCCAAATCTAGGATTTGTCTTTAGCCAGAATGTTGAAACAATTATTTCCCGAAATGAACTTGAACAAAGAACACAACACTGCAAGCCAGCACGACTTAAATGGTCTTATACCATTTGGGGGAGAGTTCAGCGCTCATATTCAGGAATGGTCTACGCCTCAGGTTACATTTCGCCTTAAGGAGAACACTCCACCGTGGTTAACAACCTGAGTCAGCTAGTACTCCTGATCGAACTGAGGGCCGTGCCTTTACCCATGATCGAATTCTCATTTATGTCCTCTTTCTCTACTCATACATCTTCACTCTCTCCCCATTTGACTCATCAGACTGCTGCATTGTTTCTAGTTCCATTAAATTTACTCTCTCCGATTCTGCCCTATCTCGAGACATATTCTGGAGCCCCAATTCAGTCACCTTAGATGCTTTTGCACCATTGTAGTTTCCTATCCTTGGGACGCCTCCGAAAGTCTCAGTATGGTCTGGGATGGGTATCTTGGGTTGTGGTTCATCACCCTTCGCTTTCACCCCGTGAAATTTCCCCATACAACCAAGCATTTCAAATAGCCTCTGCTGAGGAAGCCCTACTAACTGCCTTCACGTGGCTGTGGTGTTTTCTCATCAACGTGGGAGGACGAAAAGCCGATATCCGGGGCTATAACAGGATTGGTGAACCACTGGTAGTTTACCTGATTCCAAACCAACCAAGAAGAGGCGTACGAACTGCACCCATGCACGTCTTTCTGTCTGTGGCAGTGGCCAATTAGGCATCGAGGTATATTGGGCACCCTGAACGTTAGACCCCGTCGAAAGGGCGTATGATCCGATTAACTGGACAATGGTCCCTAATAAATTGACGGTTTCCCACACGGCCCCGCTGCATTGAGGGTCAGGCTTTGGCTAGCCGAAGGCTCCGGTCGTGAATTCCTCAAGAAAATGCACTTGCCTTGGTCTGGACAACTTGGCAGTATTCCGCCCATATGCAAATCATGGAGCGTTTTCCTTTTCTTTTTTATTGTACCGTGATTTGTTTGGCACAAAATCTGACTTCAGACGTGCGTGAAAAACATACATCTCTGGAACGACTGCTGCTTCACTTCGGACGTCTTCATACATGTTTCCAACTTCACAAGCATTATTCTTCAATGCGATTGAAATGTTTGTGATAACCGACAAAGAGCACTGGACAGCTGTTTTGTCCTGTTTGGGACTCGTCAGCAGTGCGTACTCTGTGCCTCCAAACCGAAGGTTCACGGTTTGAGCTCTGACAGCGTATTCTTGAGGACACTCATGAACGATGGAATGCTAACGAAACTAGCGAACCTTTAAAGAATCAAATGAGTGTTACGGGATTTCCGGAATTATCAATAAACAGCGTTGAATATGCGATGATCCAGATAGTGAGGCAATCGTTAGAAGGCTATACATGTATTCAGTTACACCTGCAGTCTGTATCTCTAGTTTGGAATACGCGAATGATACAATTGTTCTGGATGATAATGCAGAAAATTTACCCTATGCAGTCAGCCACATAGTTCACTTGCCGAAGTCACTAAATCAAAGACAAAGATGTTTTCTACCTCCATCCATTCCGAACAAACTTGACAGCTGAAAACTAACGGTGAAGTAATCGAATGCGCTACGTTCTTTAAGGTGAATAGTTCAACCTAACAACCAGACGAATTTCGGACCACTTTAACCACGCTAGATGAGCGTTCAACACCACTTTATATACGACGTCGCCATGTGTCGTGTTTTGGCCATGTCCAACGACAATTTTTTCTTGCCTCAACGGAAACCCCAAATGGGTGATATCGTACCAGTTGAAATCACGTATATTGAACCCCTGGGGCATCATCGAGTCTACATTTTACGCGAATTAAGTCAAAACTGGATTGTCAACAGCTGAAAGCACGCCTTGACTTGTAGTAACTAGGACGTCACAAACTATGATATTCGTGAAGTCTACTCACCCTCTCGCTGGAGATTGCCGGAAAGAGGCAGAAGCAGAGGTTCTCATCTTTTGTCCCTGAAGGATCCACTAATTTACCTACAGCCGAGAGCAACCTGTTGTGTAACAGAATAATCGATAAAGAACCCCATTTTACCATTTGATCACAAAATTAATTTTCTCTGGATACGAATTCACAGAACTCAGTGACCCTTCCTTACACTTGAGATTAAGGTAATCTTAAGATATGGTCTAAAATAAACATTATATATTACATTTCACACACGTCTGATGCCAGACTGTGTACCAAACAAATCGTGGTACAATAATGCTTATAAAAAGAAAAACGCTCCACGATTTGCGGGTGGGTCGAATACTGCCAGGTTGCCCAGCTGTATGTTTGCTCCTTGTTGTGAACGGTTGACATTGAAACAACCGGTAGTATGAGTGTAACTGATCTGTACAATCATCCATTTGTTATTCAATAACTGCCGGTGTTAGATATGTGTTCTTTGAAACAGGTTAACACCAAGAGCGAATGATTTTATCGAAGTGAGTGGCAATCAGGTTAACTTTCTGAATCGATAGAAATAATCACATCACACATCCAGAGTAGCCAAGTTTGTGCGACCTGATTGTGATACTAATTATTCATCAAAAATTTATTTTTGACCCAGAATTACCCAGGGCGCCATCGACCACTCAGCTATTTTCAGGTGGCATCGCCAAATTTCATGAGTTAACCATTAATCTGAAAAGACTGAGACGAATGTCGCTACGTTTAGCGAACTGACACAATCGTTACGAATTTCCGACTGCATCATTTTGGAACCACAAATTTAGTCCTCCATTGCATATTTAATTAGATAATGGGAAAGTGGACTGTATGCACTGATCCTAGGCAGAGAGAAAAAATCTACTCAACTAACCTGAGCAATTAGTTCTTCGCCTAAAATAGTCGGTTGAATGGAGTCAACAACGTGTTGCAAGTCCGATAATGGTTGACCTGGAAGAACACTACCGCCAGTTTTTGAAGTCACGCCGTCCGGTGAACCGCACAAAGCATTATCGTTCACTAGACACTGTAGTGCAGTCTCCAGTTTGGCTTGTTCAAAGTGGCGACGCTCCGCAATAGTTAACTCGTCTAAATATTGCTGTAGAGGTGATCCTTGTATATCGCTGTTGTACGGCTCGACCACAAGACCGAACGGGATACGCATGTCTTCACGTGTTGAACTGGAGATTCTTGTGGGCTCCGGAAGAATCAAATTGACGGGAGCGTCCCGAAAGTAGACAGAGAAGTTTTCCTGGTCCCGTATGTATTGTGCAACGGCGGAAAAAGACCTTTAAAAGAAAATACACAGAATTGTCTTTATTATCATCGCTGCAGCGTGGTTTTTGAATCCAACAAGACTCTCCAAACCTCTTACTTTCACCTGTGACCTTCATTCGATGGTTGTTTATCAAAATATTGTGCATTTGTGCACCTTCATCAAATCGAAAGTTAAATCGACTCGATTTATTTCCATCGCGTTTGAACAGTTATTTTCCAACTAACCACAACCTTAGAAGTGACTAAAACCATTGGCCGTAAAAGACTTACGTCAGTTCGGGGTTCGACCAGCGCTTCCCCGGTGGAGACAGGTTGCTACGCTGTCATTTGCCTTAATGCCATACAACAGGGTATCCTCAGACTCCGAACTAAAATTACATTTGCTTTTATACCCTGGAGGATTTCAATGTCATTGTTTTTGTATGGGAATAAGGAAAGTGTCGGAATTATATTAAGGAGAAAATAAAAGTAAATAGAAGGTGATCTTGGTCAACAACACGATCAGGGAAGCACAAGTGAGTCATAAGCTAAAGATCATAGATTAGTGCATAATGAAAGGATGAGCCACTAAGCTTTCCTGATATTTTTAAGATAGAACATCGGGAGCAGTGAGTCACCGAAAGCAGAGGCAATTGATACGCTGAAAATGGGTAATAAGACTCAATGAAAAGCAGAAATCTAGTTGGAGCAGCCTTCACATGACCAAAAACTGCGCTGAACCTCGTGTGCAAACTCGTAAAAAAAGAGCGAGTAAAATACCTTTGGTGGTTTCAACAAACCAATCTCTCCGCGAGCTGCAAAAAAGGTTTTTCCCGGTGTATTGGAACGACAACCATACTCATTCAACACGCCGAAAACGTCAGTATGTTCAAAACTATTCGTCTGAGCTGTTTTTGAGCTATACGAACGACCATTCAGTGCATTGTTTGCTGAACGTAAGATCGCTACGGTTAAGGTTGTGCAACAACTACTCCTTTTCAATACATCCTTTTGGATGCCGAAAACTTCGAGTTGTCCACCACTGATGGCCGAACATTTTGGCCCCTTGCCGAAGCAATTTTCCATCATTTCTGCCCTTCCAACTTCCCCATATATGTAATTCCCCTGGTGATTTATTACGTTAACCACACGAGAAAACTGAGGGTTTTGTTTACCGGTTTGCCACCAATTCCATCATACCCAATTATTCTACTCAACCTTTCCATTTCACTGGCGACCCTTTTCTACCTCATTCGCACCAGGAAAATCCGCGAAACATTGCGCTATCAAAATGCAACCAAACCACCCGGTCCAGACGGTATTCCAACCATCGTCCTCGAAATGTGCTCCCGTCGTCTTATCAGTCTTTCCATCCAAATTTGTACATTTCCAACCCCTTGGAAATACGCTGACATTTTTCCTACTCCCAGAACTAACATCATCATCATCGTACGGTGAAATACAGTGAAGCGAACTTCACTGATCGCTGCCAAACTCGCAATGCATACAAGATTAGTAGTAAAATTTAAGGTGGGTGGGGATTGGACCGACATTGAAGGAGAGAGAACGTGAACCACTATAGTCAACACACAGAGTGCAAAATCGAACTCTGCATAAATATCGTTTTAAGCGTTCCGGTCTGATAAGAAACGACAAGAACACCACTGCTGTCGGTTCTCTCTCTAACCAACCAGTTGTGGAGTCTTTCGGACCCCAACCTGGAAGGCGAGAGACACCTACTGTACCTAATGGCTGTGTTCATTTATTCATACCTCGTCTCCACGTTATTTGTTGACCTCCACGTGGTTCCCTCCAAAACGGATTAGCTACGGCGAACAAAGTGCAATGCGGTAGACGATGGCTGGGCATACGCAATACGTGCCCTAGCCAGCGAAGTCTATTAACCTAAATCCGGTGTGCTAGCAGGTTTGTCCCTGATAGACTCTCAAACAAACGGCGGTTTACCTTCGCGTTACTAACCCGGTCGCTCCATCCCACGTGGGCTAAACTACGTAAACACCGATAATCGAAAACCTCTAACTGACGGATATCTTCTGCTCGCAAATTCGAGGTCTCACAACCATAAAGCAGAATCGAACAAACGCTAGCGCAATGCACACGACCTTTCAACTTCAGTGAAACGTCGCGTCTACGCCAAATGCTGTTCAGTCCTGCACATGCTGCTGGAGCCTTGGAAGTGCTGCCGTCATTGGTCACGCAGCTACCTAAGTAGGAAAATCAACCCATTGTAATAAACTCCTGACCATTTAGTTTCTGAGTGGGAATAGATGAAGCCCAGTTTTGCAGCAGCACTTGGCACTTTGAAGGTGCAAAGCACATACCCAATGTGGCTTTGCATTCGTCAGTCTATCCAGTGCGTTTTGCGCGTCCTCCATACATTCGAATAGATAGCTGACATCCTCGGTGTATTCTAAATCGTACAGCTTTTCTCCATCTGCCCATTCAATACCTACGTTTTGGAGACCACTTAGCGCGTTCTCTAGTATTTCGTCTACGACGAAATTGAACAGGAACGGTGAGAGAGGGCACCCTTGACGAACGCAGCTGCGTGTGACGAATGGTCTACTTAGTTCATCATAGACCCTTACACGGTCAGAGGTATGCGAGTACAGTGACCTTAGTAAGTTAACATACTTCTGGGCATTCCTTTTCGAAGAAGAGAGCCCATCAGAGCTGCGCGATCAACTGAGTCGAAGGCTCCTTTCAGGTCAGGGAACACTGCGATCGCTGGTCGACGGTTGGTGTGACACAGCTCAAGGACCTGATGCACCGTCAAAATTTGATCAATACATCTAAGGCCAGGCCGGAATCCGGCTTGCTGTTCATGGATGTTTATCTCTCTTAAAGGAGTCAGACGTCGAAGAATGACCGTGGTTAGCACTCTGGTGACGATCGGGATCAAACTGACCCCGCGGTGGTTTCCGTCGTCGTTCCGAGATCCTTTCTTGAAAATGGGAACGATCAGTGATTCGCCCCGAGATGAAGGAATGCACTCTTGCGTCCAAATGTTGCGCGGTAAGGTATTATTACACCTTGAGGTTATCACTTCCCATCTTGAAAAAAATAGGAGGGAGCTCATCCGGTCCTGCTGCCTTTCCTTGTTTCAGCTCTTGAATGCAAGACCGAACTTCTGCTTCCGTTGGAGGATCGCATGACTGCCCACGGAGCTTCGGTTGCGGATGAGGCAACCTGGTTAGCGGTAGGCCAGCTGAACTGTTCGCTGAAGTATTCTGCCCAGCGATCAAGTGAATAGCTCGTCCCATCTTATCATAGACCGTTTCACTAACTGCAGTTCGCCAACCTCCCGTATTTCGTATGAGTTCGAACAGTCTTGGACTATTCCCTGACGCAGCTGCTACTTCCATTTCACTAGCTATTGTTGCCCATTGGTTCTCACGGTCCTTCTTGAGACTCTTTGTGAGCTGACGTTGTAGATGCCATTTAACTGTTTTGATCCTGGCAAATCGGGACTTGTCATTTTTTCTCCATCAGGGCTACTGACTCCTGGGATATCCAATGCCTCCGACGAGCTTGAGGCTTAGACCCACAAACAACATTCGCTGCGGAATGCATTGCTCTCCTATTCTGATCCTACTGTTCATCTACATCACTATGTTGAGGTGCGCTGAGCTTACGCACTAGCTCTGATTCATAGCGAACAGGACTTGCTGGAACAGATAGTCGATAACGAGCTATTCGAGTCCGCTGAATTCATCGACGGCCAGTCAGTCGGAGTGAACTGCATCAAAACTAATGCGTAGTCTAACTCAACGCAGGTGGTCCAATAGGACCTGCAATTTTGCACTGAGCCACGTCAACGGTAACCTACTACTGTGGTCGACTTGAGTTAGCGTACCAGTTGAACTGGGGCGCCACGGTGCCGTCCGTCGAGAGCTGTGTCGGAAGTTG